AGAGACATATTTGAGCCCTTGGGTTTAAAACCGTCTCCGTTTTTACCGTCTAAAACCAAACACTTCCCATCGCTGTCAACAGAGTAAGGCAGATATATGTAGGAGGTGAGTTTGGGCTACATATACAAGAGATAATAATGATTAGTCCTGCTTGTGAGTAGACAATAATTAAATTATCTTGAATAGCTATTGAGACAACAATAAATACATCATTCACAGCATTACTTGGTACAATATAAAACAGGGCATGTACATGTATGCAACATCATGATTTTATGATGACATTGACATCATTTACACTGTACAATCAGCATTTACTACCAGTGCACATGCAGGTGTGTAAAAATAAACTTTAGTGTTCCTAATTAACCACAACCATTTTAATAATTAAAGTATATGAAGTGATAGTCTTACATGAACATACATAATGTATTTTATTCATAAGGTCCAAGTCTCTACTTACATTAAATGCTCCGCCTCGTAGCCCCCCACTTGCTCCACTCTCCAAATAAGTGACAATGTTTTGCTTCATTTCAAAGCTCTCCCTCAGCCCCAAGTGATAAAATAGTTTGGCTTGGCAGGCACGATCTGTCACGTCAGCAACAGCAACGTTCGAGGAATAGAATTTATCCAGTGCATCTGTCTCCCCAAAGTCCAACTTTTCAAAGGCGATCCTTTCTACAATGTAGTCCAGCTCGTTGGCCACTTCTTGAAGAACGTTAAAACACTTCCTTCCTTCCCTGGTATCGGGTATAACCGTCACTATGACCTGCTGCTCTCTTACACTTCTCTGAAGCTTCACCTTGGAAGACATTTTTAGTAAAGGAGCCACGCCTATGAAATGACGCATCATATATCAATTAAAAATTAGATATTAAATCATCAATCAAAAATCATTGCAGCAAAAAGATACTTTTTACTGTAAAAAAAATTTCTGACTATTTTGTAGCATGAGAAATGTATGGAGAATATAATCAGGCACTGATGTCTTGTCTGTAGTCTTGGCAGAGGTTTGATAAACTGGTAGGAATGATGCAATTAAGATAGCTGAAACCATTCCACACGTCGCCTTCCAAATAAAACCAAAGGAAAGAAAATATATACAGCGTTAGGAGGAGAACCAGCCCAGTTATCAACAGGGCTATCTTTCCAAGTAATGAAGATTTTGCCTTTTGATTAGGAAATCTGAAAGAATTAAACTCAGTCATACAGTCATGCTGTGGGATGTAATGAATCTGAATGAAGCTGAACATCATCCCAAACAGAAAGCCACCGATTCTGGCGTAGTTATCAATGTATGGTAGAAACCCGATTAGAAACAGGAGTACGACAATGATGGAGTACTTGAGCATTTCGAGCCAGGCCCTGTCAAAGAAGTTCCAATGATAAACGATGAAAATAAGGAAGAACGCTATCACTCCAAACATTGATGCAGCTGGGCCAACCTGTTTAAATGAAAATTATGAAAATAGTTTAGTCAACAAAGTACACATTAGTGAGATTACCTCAGCAGAGTAGGGAACAAACAAAGCACTGATGATGTTTCCTCCAATTCCACTTCCTATGTAGAGCGTAGCAGTAGCAAGCCAACCAAGGTACTTCTCCAGATCTCGAAGGATGTAGAAATTGAAAATGATTGTCAATAATACGTGAAAAATCCTATCAAAAAAAAAACTCCAAATTAACTGAGTATTTAAAAGGATTGTTACCCAGCATGGAGAAAGACAGCCAGGCCTAGCCTTTGGATTTGGTCTGGGGTCTTACCAAAAGGAGTCAAGCCACAAATGCCCTTCAAACAGTTAACCTATGCATGCAATGAATCAAAATGGTTGCAAATGACGCGTGTGTACTTGTGAGCAAAGAAAAGCATCTTTATGAAACTTTCCTTCAAGGAAATCGCAGTGCTCCTGTGACGTGATTATACACTGAGCCTGTATCCCCACACAGCAAGGCCGCCCTGTTACTCGACAGGACAGGTGCTCAGAGTTAGAAGCCACCGAATCAGTGCATATCTAAATGAAGAGAATGTAAATGTGATGCTGTTTTTCTGCTTGAGTTACAAATAAGTTCTCCTGATAATAATAGTAATAATAATATGCTTACTGGCCATCCAGTTACATTGGTGGACATCCATC